TCTCTAGGGGACTTAGTAACTGGTTTATTTTTGGGGATTTATTAAGTACCATAACCCCAATTAGGGTCCCTTTTAGGGTACTTCTAAGTCTACTTACTACCTACTTACTAAGTCCCCCGACCCTCCAAGTAGTTCAGAACTAGGAAGGGTTCAGGGTTTAAGGTTTAGGGAGTTCTGGGATCCCCCAGTTAGATTCTAACTTAGATTGCAGATACTATTTCCATTTTCTAATCATGCACCACCCCCTAGCGCCCAAACCATAACAAGCTATACCTCAACCTCCAACCCACCAAAAAGACCCATAGGAACCTAAACCCTAAACGCCCCTTAGAATGGAACCCACTAGACAACCCTAAACCCTAAACCCCTAAACCCTAAACCCTAAACCCGGAATCAAAGCCGGCAAGTCTCATCTTGAAGTCTGACCTGGCAAAGCACATCCTGCGTTGCACCTGCGAGCTTTCCACCTCACAGTTGAAATGGTAACCCAAAGGGTCCCAGGTACTGTTATGGGGGATACTTCCCCAAATCATAATAGCAATTCCTATTATAGAAACCCTACATTCTACCATATAGGTACTTTGGGGCCTTTGGGTAAGGTAAGTTATCTGATGCTGTGCATACCAGCCTGCAGATGTTGTGGGCAGCAGAGTTGCTCGTCCCATGCCAAAGGTACAACCCCATGGAAAACCAATACGTTCAACCCCATAGCATGCCCCACCCGATAGATAACCCACAGTAGCAACCCTCAAACCCCTAAATGTGCAAAATGGAAATGGTATGCTTAGAATTTTAATCTTTATCTACAACAGGAACAGGGTTTAGCAATAAAGTGGCAACGGCAATGAAGCCAAAGAGTAATACCTAGGAATCACACGAGTGGTGAGTATTTGTATGATTATTAGTATAGTACTACTACCATTTTGTTGCGGTAATTTACTCGTGGTTTTCGGCTTCAGCCTGTTGATTGGTGTCGGTTACTTGGAGGATCATGGGACTTAGTAAGTAAGGTGATAAGTACCTTAAGTGGGGTTATAAGTAGTTAGAAGTATAGTTACCCTAATTATAACCCTAGGTACTAAGTCCCATGATCCTTTAAGTACGACTCTTGTTCAGTCTCCAAGGATCTTTGACTTGCTTCGTCTTCTCTCTCACAGCAAACGGCCACAATATTAATAGTAGTGATAACAACAAAACCATGGTGATAGTCAGTAATACGCATAGTAAACATGACAATAATGGTACTCAGAATACTAATCATGATAATAGTAATAATAAGAATAATGGTGTTAATCATCATAACGAATCATAACAACCCCAAGTTTTAAACCCTTAACAAGAAGAGCACCAATATGAAGAACAGTAATAAGAATAATGAGTATGATAATAAAAGTGTGAACAAGAAAACTAAGAATAATAACCAAAAGAAGAAGAAGAATAGCAATGATAACACTAATGACAATAGTAGTAAGGTTAATACATGTATGACTCATAATAAGACTAACATCAACTACTTGTTCGAATGGTCGTCTTTCCGCATCAAGTGCGCCCAACTTCTTCCAGCATAATGCATCTGCATCTCTCAATCGTTATGAAAGCTGTCCTGGTACTTACCGCATTCTCCTGGACATCCATGACGTCAAGGCTGTTTGTTCTGCCGGTCTGCGCTGGATACGCACACGTACCCGTGTCGTTTCCGTCGCGTTTCGCTCTGCCTCAGCTTCAACGTGTTGGAGGCTTGTCCAGAAGCATGCGTAGATGGACTCAGACTGCCACATCCCCACCACAAACCAGTGCCTGCAACCGTGACACGAGGAAGGACGGTTTGGTAGCCTACAGTGCATGCACCGGACATGGGCAGTGTCACTTGCCGGCAGGTTTGAGAGACGGTTGGGCAGTCGCAGCTGGCCTCCGTCATACTTGTGCAGTGCGGGCAGATGGTCGGCTCGGCCGTTTCGGATACAAGGAGCGTGGACAGTGTCAGGTACCAGCAGATTTGGGACCAGTTGTGACAGTCGCAGCTGGCAGTCGTCACACTTGTGCAGTGCGGGCAAACGGTCGGCTCATTTGTTTTGGATGGAATGAATATGGGCAATGTGATGTGCCCGCAGATTTGGGATCTGTTTTGGCAGTCGCAGCTGGCGATGGTCACACTTGTGCAGTGCAGGCAGATGGTCGGCTCGTCTGTTTTGGAAGCAATGAACGTGGACAGTGTGATGTACCAGCAGATTTGGGACCAGTTGCGACAGTCGCAGCTGGCAGGGGTCACACTTGCGCAGTGCGGGCAGATGGTCGGCTCGTCTGTTTTGGAGGCAATGAAGATGGGCAGTGTGATGTGCCCGCAGATTTGGGACCAGTTTTGGCAGTCGCAGCTGGCGGTCACACTTGTGCAGTGCGGGCAAACGGTCGGCTCGTTTGTTTTGGATGGAATGAATATGGGCAATGTGATGTGCCCGCAGATTTGGGATCTGTTTTGGCAGTCGCCGCTGGCGGTCGTCACACTTGTGCAGTGCGGGCAGATGGTCGGCTCGTTTGTTTTGGATGCGACGAAGATGAGCGGCGCTATGTGCCGCCAGATTTGGGACCAGTTTTGGCAGTCGCAGCTGGCGGTCACACTTGTGCAGTGCGTTCAGATGGTCGGCTCATTTGTTTTGGATGGAATGAATATGGGCAATGTGATGTTCCCGCAGATTTGGGACCAGTGTTGGCAATCGCAGGTGGCCTTGCTCACACTTGTGCAGTGCGTTCAGATGGTCGGCTCATTTGTTTGGGATGGAATCTATATGGGCAGTGTGATATGGACAACCGGTGTTCATGCAGAAAAAGCGATACTGAGTGCCAAGGGGGTATTGGTACATGAGCAACTATGTCTTTTCATTGAGGGCAAGGGTGGTTCCGTAGTATGGCTTTCATCATGTGGGTATTGGGTAGGTCTTCCTGTGGGTCTTTTTTTGGTTCCATGGGTGGGCTATAGGCTGTTATGGTTTTGGGTCTTCGGGTGGCCTAAATGGGGAGGTGCATGGGTTATTATTTTAATCTGGAAATGGTATCTGCTAACTCAATTACATTCAAATATGCTTTAACTACTCACTATTGACGACCATAAGCGCTCAATTAAAGGAGCAAAGGGCTCCTTGTTCCTTTAAGGGTTCTACAAAAGACTTTTCAGGATTTTATCATAGGAATTTGCATTGTGAAGGTCGGGGCAATGTGTAGTAAACTGTAGTAGTTTGGAGGGGATTCCCTTCAGGATTCCTTTCCCTTTGGTTCGTAGGGAATGGAGGGATGGGTAACAATTATAACAACTATTACTACCATTCTTCCATTCCGTGCTAACCAAAGGTAAGTTCCTCTGGCCCAAGTAGTCCTTGTTTATGGTTTTTGGTACCTTGTGAGGCCCTAAAGTCCTATAGTAGGGAGTACTTGGACCCTCGGGGTAGGGGTTGCATCAGGGCTCCATGGAGTGTTAAAACCCCATGTTCTTCAATGTGCAAGCCGGACTTCGTCATAGGAGTTCGATGCATTTAGGGTTCCTTTAAAGGTTGTTTCTGTAGGGGTTCGAAAAATGGTTTTCTGCGGGTTTACATACCAAGCGGTCGAGATTATCAGTAATAGTACTCCTGTCTATGTCTAGAGTCAGAACAGCACCTTCCGCATCAAACAGTAAAGTATCATACACCCCAACATGCTAGTCTCTTTGCAAAAGGTGCTTCGGGCGTGAATGCTTCAGAGTTTGGGATTTTAGGGTTTAGGGTTAACGGTTTAGGCTGCTTCGAAGATCAGGGGGCTCAGTAAGCCAGGTGATAAGTACTTGTTGTGGGGTTTCAACTCCATATACCTACAGTTCCCTAAACCCTTAACCCCTCGTATTTAAGTGTGTTTCAAGTCCGGTGGATTGGAGGGTTATGGGTTGAGGGCGCTCCTTAAGGGGCTCTAGAAGGGGGTTTGGGGTTTCAGGGCTTCTGGGTTGATCTTACATAAGGTTTTTGGCCATATATATTTAGTCTATTTTCGTTTGAGCTTTGTTGGGCCCGGTTTTTTTAGAGTGAGGAGTTTTAGGCTGTGGGATGGGGTGGGGTCAAGGGGTGCAGCCTCTTAAAAGCTATCGCTTCTCGGGCTTCCTGGTTGGCTTGGGCACGAGGGTTCGGGCATTGAAGCAGCTTAGGACCATCATATTAGCAGTGCTTTTATTCCTTGAATTGTTATGTCGTGTGATACTATACAGTATCTACCCCAAGCCCTCGCTTGATATATTCTTGGCGCCGCTGTTGGGTGGATCCTGAGTGTTAGGCCTAGAAGATACGAAATGTAGGAAGTCCAAACGTAAAGTTCTTTGATGCACGTTGCTGTGTGTTTTGGCTCTCAATGTGACAGCCTCTTGTCAGTTTGGACCTTTGACACGTTTATGGCCTGGGATAAGAGCTCAGTGCTTGGAAGCTCTTGTGACTTAGTACGTCTGTTCAGTATGTCGGACAACCTCTATCATAATCCCCATATGCCAGTTTATTCATCCCAATAACAAGTTCAAGCGAGCATCCAAGTAACCGTGACCCCGTACTCGAAAGCCCTTACAGAATCCTCAAAGCCACCCGGAAACCTGCAAATGAAGCCCTTAAAACGAGCTCTGGAAGCAAGCCTGCAATGAAGCCGTCAAAGAGGACTGGAATCCTAAACTCCAAGGGACCCCTAGGTATATACCCTTAATATAGCTATTACATCCCCATTATATAGCCCATGAGACTGAGAGGGTAGGGGTCCCCATTAAGGGTCCCTCCTTTTCCCCTTTGATAAACTCTTTTGTTAGGGTCAGGATATTCCGAACGGAACCCTCAGGGTTTTTAAGGGCCCAATAATTAGACACTTAGGTTTAGGGTAGTAGTTATGTAGGTTATTATTTGGGAGAGTATATTATGATAATTAGGCACTTGGACCCTTAGGGGAAGTTATATGGAGCCTTCAAAACTGGGTTCCGGTAGCTCAAGCCAGTCAAATGGCTTGGCATGCTGTGCATCACGCTGCTTTCAGGGGCAGAGATTGCACACGTTCCCCTTGCGGAGCTGGCTCATGTGAAGGCCTTGAAGCAGCACTTGCATGAGCATCACAGCCTGCCGCCGCGCTTTCGGCAAAGACTTCTTCACGAGGGCAACTGAGTAATAGAGTGTGCAACTTTTAGCCTTGGCCTTGGGGATACTATAGCACACTATGACACCACGCAGTCCAAATAGTTAACCTCTGGTTCCCCTCAAATACTGGTCAACGAAGGCAATGCGTTAGATGACTCCGTCACGCTGGACTCGCTGCTCCCAGAGCAGCGTCCGCCACCATGCAGGCAAAGGCTCTCCAAATCCAGCACTCCCATGCCGACTTCAGATTCTTCAGCACCAGAGCAGTGCCAGGGGTGTCCGGCGGACTCGCAAGAGCCACCAAAGACAGCCGAGGAAGTACCAGCTGCTGCAGATCCACTCCCAGCCGCTACTTCCCCGACTACACCCTCACCTTCTTTGGGTACGGCTTGTGTGTCAGTCCTCGGCCATGATGCACTGGACGAGAGTGCGCAAACCCCACCAGACAATGCCATGGCTGCTCAGGGTAGAGGGAGAAAGCGTGTGGCAGAAGGGAGCACTCACTTCGACAGAGAAGCCTCCGTGCAAGTGCTATTGTTGCCATTCTGCGAAGCTTCGGATAGGGAAAGGACCGAGATTTGCAATGCGGCATACGACGGTGTCCTGTCCAAGGCAGGGAACATCGTGCCTGCCCAACTACATCCCAGAACTGAAAGACAACCTGCAACAACCCTAAACCCTCCTGCCTCATCCTGGAGCCGTCAGGTGGAATATTTTCTGCAGCTCCCTATGGACCCGGATACTACAAAACTGGGTGGAGATACTGCGCTGATGTGCGCATGTGAAAACTGCCGCATTGATGTTGCCGAGCTGCTCCTTGAAGCGGCAGCTCAGGTGGGTGCTAAACCCCAAGCCCAGAGAGCCAAATACCCCTTAATTAAGGAATATGGCTTAAATTATATAGGGCTTAATATTATGGTTTAAGCCAAATTCCTTAATTAAGGGGTATTGGGCTCTCTGAAAAACCGTAAACCCCTTAAACCGTGGGGGTTCTCCAAAGCTGGGACTACGAGGCTCTAGCCTGGTTGGTGTGGTATCAGGATTTTCAAAACCGATACCAGGACCCTCCTTGTACCCTCAAATAGGGGTATATGGCCCCAAATAATCGGCATTTAGGGTCTAATAGAGGGTAGATGGAGGGTCCAGGTAAGCTCTAAATTCCTAAACCTAAACCCCCTAATTTCTTATACCTTCCAAGAGGAAGGGAGTTTAAGGAAGCTTCATACAAGAACGAGGCCTCCCCTCGGGATCCAAAGCGGACCAAGCAATGGGGTTTGGGGGTTTAGGGTTTAGTGAAGCCTTTTCAGGTGGATTTCCGCAACAGTCTGGAGAAGACTGCGTTGATGATCGCTGCACAGGAGTACGGGTGTGCTCCAGTGGTACAGTTGCTCCTGGCCTCCCGAGCTCAGGTGGACTTGCGTGGTGGCAGCGTCTGGGTTCTTGCTATCAGGAGTGTATCTCAAGTTACGATAACAAGGGCACCTGCTCTTTTTCGATAGCCCCCTAGTATGGTAACTTGAATTAAACTGCCTATACACCAGCCCAGGCTTTGGCAGGACGGCGCTGATGTGCGCGGCATTCAACGGTCATTCTCAAGCTGTGAAGTTGCTTCTCGATGCTAGGGCTGAGACGAATTTGCGTGACACTCTGGGCAAAACCGCACTGTCTTATGCGAACCTGTTTCGCGACCATGCAACTGCGCGATTGCTGGAAGCCGGCTCTTAGGCTAAATTGGCTTTGACTGGAGCTTCCCACTATAAGCTGCACACGACACATTCACACGTGGGCACCCAGAAGTCCACGCTGGAGCGAAAGAAGACCGTCGATGGGCTGACGCGCGTGGTGGGGCATTGCCGCTGGGAAGCGGGTGCGCGCTGGTGTGCGCCGGGTCTTCCCGCATGCACGGTTTGGGAGGCGACCTTGCACCGTGCGAGCCACTTAGGGACTCGCTGCACCGTCCTCCGTGCAAGACACAGCGTGCGCCGTGAGGACTCCGCAGGAGGCAGAAAGAAGTCCTCACAGAGTAGACCCAGAGAGCCAAATACCCCTTAATTAAGGAATACATGGCTTAAATTATATAGGGCTTAATATTATGGTTTAAGCCACATTCCTTAATTAAGGGGTATTGGGCTCTCTGGGGACCTGCTCAGAAGATTTTTAGAAACGCACCTTGACGAGGCAGTCTGAAGAGTTTTATACAGCCTCGGCCACCTGATTGTCACCGCTGCCCCAGCATGGTGCCTTTTGAAGCGCATTGAGGCGAAGCGAATGTGCCTAGTACCCCAGAGAGCCCAATATCCCTCAATTAAGGAATATGGCTTCAATTATAAGGGGCTCCATATGATATGGTTTAAGCTATGTTGCTTAGTTCAGGGGTATATTGGGCTCTCTGGGACGGCGCAATATGATAGTGTGGCCGTGGCCTCGCACAGCTCGCAGCCAGCACACCGTGACGAGCATATGAACAGAGGTTGCTAGTCGTTTCAGAAGCAAAACCCTAAGGGTCCATGTACCCAAATAGTATATATTTTTGGCCCAATTTACCTATTAAGGCCAATGGATATACTATTTGGGTACATGGACACTTCAGGGAAAGAGGGAGAGCACCTTCCGGAGCCTGCCGTCAAGCCAGTCGAGTGCTAGCGCGGAAGATCTCAGAAAGAGATCTGCTGCCATTCCTCACAAGGACCAGGTTGACGAGGCCACTGAAAACGAGCTCAACTCACTTTCAGGGGGCTTTATCCCACGCGATGCTAAACTAGAACATGGTACATTCACTTGAACCTTCGCAGAGTTCCTCCACACCTCCGGGGATCCCTGAAGCAATGACCTTGAACCCTAAACCGACGCGACGAGACGGGGCAATCGTAGCTTGCAGCATGATGACGTTGATTGGAGCATCGCTACCCTAAGGCCCCAAAGTAGTTCTTTTTTGGGGTTCATATATAGAATCCTATAAGGTATAATCCCCAAAAGGAACGACTATGGGGCCTATGGGTAAGGGAACCAAGCCGAAGTGAGAGAACATCCGCGGCAAGCATTGGATTTGTCTCTGGCACCGCCCCGAACCCCAATCGGACATGGTTTGGTCAGATGGACGGGGTTGGTGGGTGTGATGTTGCAGCGCCAACGCTTTCGCACCGTAACAGTGAGCCGCGATGGTGGCTGACTGAGTTGTGCAGCAGTCCGAGTACGTAGTTCGTGCAATAGTGTTGCGGAGCCCACGGGTAGTAGCAAGTTTGAAAGTTGAAAGGGGTGCCAGCACATCCTCACATTCGGCAAAGCCCTTCACATCACGTAGTTGTTCAATTCGCCTGTTGCAGTGCCATAGAGGTGGAGATGTCTTTACCAAGGGCCTGTATGACACCCCCTGACACCAACCTGACACCACCTCAGCAGGCACTACCTCGAGGGGCTATGTGGCTTGGTGCTGTCCAACTGGCACGCTTGGAGGGTCATGCGACTCCCTCCAGTGCGGCTGTAAGCAGTCATAAGACTTGCCTTGATTCGTAACCATAGTCGCTACGTCCCTTGATCCTTTAAGAAGCTCTCAGAAGTGAAGTCCCTAAACCCTAAACCCTAAACCCTAAACTTTGGGGTTGAGGGTTTTGTATCCAGGGTTCGCGGCATTGGGTTGACGGCCTGGTGGCAAGCCCCCAGGGTCCCACCAGGTACTGTTATGGGGGATACTTCCCCAAATCATGATAGCAATTCCTATTATAGAAACCCTACATTCTACCATATAGGTGCTTTGGGGCCTTTGGGTACTAAGGATCCTACTATTAAGGGTACTACATTAGGGTCCCCTCAGAAACTCCCAATTTGGGGCCTGGTGGCAAGCTTGAAGCCCCAAGCATGTTGAACGGATTCATGGCGTAGGAGGATCGGGGAAGTAGAAACCATAATCTGGGACCGTAACTACAAGACCCGAAACCCTAAACCCTAAAACCCCTAGAACCCTAAACCGTAAACTATAGGAGCCACCTTAAAAGATCGACATTTTGGATCGGAGGAGGCCTGGGAGTGCAATGCCTGAGACCCTGACCCCTCTTAAGGGCCCATGGGACATACGTAAGTAAGGTTATAACTAAGGTCACGTCGTGCGATCTTATACGGCAGTCTTATTCTGAATTTTCCATTTTGCTTTTCTACCCTCGCCTTTGGGAAGCAAGGGTTATGATTCAGGGCACTTACAACTTGTAACCCGAATTATCATCCTCCTTACTAAACCCCTTGAGCCCTTAAGTGCAGAGATGTCTGTCCATAATGGAACTCTACTCAAGGGCCCAGTAAGTATCTAGTCTATGCTGTGCGTCAGGGCATCCTTGTCTTCCTCGCAGAATGAGTATACTTTTACACCTTTGGGGATAACTCCCAGCCCCCACAGAACTGAAAGTGTCAATTGCTTTTGGTGCTTACTAACTCGGCAACTAAGCTGTCCCTAAAGGATCATCGGACATAGTAGCTCGGGTTATAATTAAGGTAATTGTACTTATATCTAAATAGAACCCAAATTAACCTCACTTACTATGTCCCATGATCCTCCTTTTCCCCCCTCCAAGTAAGCTGTATCACTTGATCCTTGAAGCCCTGAACCCTAGACGGCCCTAAAGCCGGTGAGGCCGAGGCCTCCCTGAAGAGGCAACCAAGAAGTACCATAAATTTGGAGAATCTTATGATGAGCCCTAAAGCAGAAATATAGAATTATAGTTTTATGTGTAGGTTCTTATGATGGGACAGGTAGTATAGACATATAGAATTCTGGCTTTATAACCCTCATAAAGAATTAGTGGAGGTTTGGTAGGTTAAGGTGGTTTCCCAAATGGCGGGTAGCTGCTCCGTAAACCGTACACAATGCTTATAGTGCCCCGAACCCGATAGCCTGTCATAGAGTCTTCCGTTCTGGTCCAAGCACCAACTCAGAAGGGCTTTACCCCCCCCCCCCCAACAAAAAAAAAAAAAACTTGGCTCTGCATGGTGTTCGGTTCCTAATGTGGGTACTTGGGCCCGCTGGGTTGCTGGCCTTCAATTTTATGGCAGAAAACCGCAACTCACCCGTCCTGGGGATACAATGCTCGGCCCAAACCCTAAACTAGAAACCCCTAAACCCCTAAGCCCTACACCCTAAACCCCTAAACCCCTAAGCCCTAAACCCTAAACCCTATGCTTGCAGCGGAACACCGTAACCAGGCTCGCCCTCCTCACCGCTCCCGCTGTGTGTCTCATGGACCGGGCCTCAGCGAAAGAAGGTTGAACATGTGAAGATAACAGGTCTTTTGATGGTTAAAGTTAACAGGTCTTTTGATGGTTAGAGTTTTACAAGGTTTTTTTCGGGTTCTAGAAGGGTTCGACACGGTTCTAAACGGGTGTTATGGGGTTCTATACATGGGCCGTGACACATCAGAATAGGATTCCTGTGAAAGGGCTTCCTCACGGGCCTTTAAAGTACCTGTATAAGGACCCCTTTAAGGCCTAAGTACCTACTATATGAGTACATGGAGCCTTAGGGTAACCAAGCTCGCGGCTGCAAGAAATCCATTCCTTCAGCCGCTGCAACCTTAAACCCAAACCCTAAACCTAAATCCCAAACCCCAAGCCCTAAACCCTAAACCTAAACCCCAAACCCCAAGCCCTAAACCCTAAACCTAAACCTAAACCCCAAACCCCAAACCCTGAACCCTAAGCCCTGCAAGACCGCACAGGACCGGCAGTCCGAGGGAAAAAGTGTGCTGTGACTCCCGCACTCCCGAAAAGGGAACTTCCGAGAATAGGGGACCCTAACATAGCACCCTAAATAGTAGGATCCTTAAGAGTCTCCAAAAAGAGAGGACCCTAATATAGGACCCTGAATGGTAGGATCCTTATTATATGGACGCCAAAATAAGGTACCCCGAATTTTCGGAAACTCCCGAAAAGGTTTTTGCCGCCCTTCCAGCTCCCGGGCCTTGCGGGCTACCATTACTACACCCGCCCAAGTACTGGGCTTTGGAGTACCATACTTTAATACTTCTTTGGGACCTGTTACTTAAAAGGAACCCTCATGAAATAACCGTCTACATTTTCAAAACATATTGACTGTTATTTCATTTTTCTCCCTGGTTACTTCAAAGCCCAGAGTAGCGTCTCGTTTCAGTTCCTTTGGCTTCCTGCGTGTGGGGCTTAGCTTCCTCGCTTCCAGTTGCTCTCACTGGCCGGCGCTTCAGCTGGGGCGGGCTTTGCTCATACCCTAAGGGCCCAAAGTAGTTCCGTTTTGGGGTTCATATATAGAATCTTATAAAAACCCTAAACCCTAAACCCTAAACCCAACCCTAAACCCTAAACCCTAAACCCTAAACCCTAAACCCTAAACCCAACCCTAAACCCTAAGCCCAACCCTAAACCCTAAACCCTAAACCCTAAACCCAACCCTAAACCCTAAACCCTAAACCCAACCCTAAACCCTAAACCCTAAACCCTAAACCCTAAACCCTAAACAGGTAATCCCAAAAAGGAGCTTCTATGGGGCTTATGGGTAATGGCTGCCTTCAGCCCCAAGCCTCACAAATAACCCTTGACGAGCCGCGACCCCTATAAAAATAATGCTAAGGGTCCATGTACCCAAATACTATATACAAGGGCTTTAACGTAGTCCCGATGTAGGTATTTCGGGGCCAAATATATATATATATATATATATATATATATACTATTTGGGTACATGGACCTTTAGGATAGCCAAATTGTAT